CAGCTTGATGTCCAGGCCAAATCGGACTTCACCTGGTTCTGGTTTCATTTCAAATAAAACTTCTGAGACTCCTGGTAGAAACCACAGCCTTATTCCCTGTACCACCTGAAGAGTTGTACCATGATTCTGTTGCCTTCCCACTGAGTTTAGATCCCTTCCCATAGGATTGAATCTCTCCTTCAAGTTAAAATTTTGGATAAACTTTTAAGATGTGCAAGCACAGTTAGCTCAAATCATGTATGAACAAGAACAAACCCTTTTTGTATAATGATTCATATGCTAAACGAAAAGCCAGAAAGAGTCATACTGATCTCATGATCTGTTCTGTTTGGATATTAACAAATACAAGAGGAGCCCCAGAAGAAACTGCTGCAGAGAACCAGGCCATGCACCTGGTTGTAGTGGCTTCAACATTGTATTCACTCTGTAAAGGCATAAACAAAATGGAACTAACAACAGTTGATCCTGGGTCAGGCAAGTAGTTAACAACTTTTCTCTTCCAATCATACTTCACTTCCCTTCTGCTGAATGCTTTTCTGTCCACATTCACCACCCTTCTGCTCATTTCTGAATATAATGCTCCGTATTACTAATTTTATGAGCATCATCAGTCAAGTCATGAAGAGCATTTAGAAGGGCAAAAATCCTAATAATACTCAGAAATTTTTGTTGATGGGTTATTTTCTTGTTATGCATTTTAATCATACATTAGATTACTTGGATCTTTAATCATTTGTACTAGGAAAGATTAAATTTTATTGTTCCCACAAGAGAAACCAACCTTGCAGTTCTATGCACTGTTCTAGTGTCAAGTCTCCCAAAACAGCAATATGTCTCTCATCAGTAGCTGCTCTAATGGTAAACTTTCTCTGCAGCATCGAACTCTTTTCTGACACAATATTTACGCGAAGCATAAGGATTGTGTCTGCTCTTCTAACCTTCACCCATAAGGCTTCAGCCTGCTGGCTAATCTTACCAAGCTGTGAATTGAAGTCAGACCTGGCTTTGGGTGGCATAAACACTTCACCATCACCATCATCTTCAGCAAACCCTTCGATGATATCTCCTGGCAATGGCATGCTCTCGTCCCACTCTTCTGCTGCATCTTGCTTCACTTTCTTAATGCAAACCAGTGTGCGAGGACTACTCATTTCTTTCCTCCTAAACATGGAACAAGACATATTTGTGGAATCTAAATGGATTTACATTCAATAAGAACAAACCTGGAAATCTTAGGGGACACTTAAAGGTCAATTTCTAGTTCTTTACAGCCATACTTTCTAATGGTAGCTTAATTATTTAATTGTTTGATGTGCTCTTTCATTGTGATATAAACAAGACTGCCGGCTTTCCAATTTGCCTTGTTACTAGGTGTATTATTTGTCTGACTTATGGGTAAAGTATGCACTTCTCCACCTTACTATTGAAACTAAGTACACTGCACAAACTAAAAAGCATGTGAAATTCAATTGGGCCAGAAAACATCTGGGCTAAGTAGGCCAACGAAGTTCCCTTCTGCACATTCAATATGACATACTTGAAACATCGAACATAATGGTATGCTTCCTGCTTGTCCTATTCCTGAGAACAAGAAAGAGGATATCGAAACTCATGTTCATAAATATTTAATTGCTTCCATTTTATTATCTATACAAATAAAGAATAGTAACAAATGTCAGAAAATTTAGCAGATTTTCTGCCAAAAAACCTCTAGCCCACGAAGCATTACAAAAATTCCAAGAAAAGAATATATTACTGAGAGGATGAATTTAGGTCCTATTGTGTGAGGCATACATATGACTGCATTTACAATTTACTCATGCACCTCCAGCACGGATTTTGTCAATTTGTTTCTGAAGCTTCTCAATGTCTGCTTGAGCGCGGGCTCTTAACTCTGCATTGTTTGAATTGAGATCTGGAGTGCAATCTGAGATTTTCCGCTCTATGCTTTTAATCTGATTTTTCCGAAATGCCCGTTTTTTGAAGGAAATAAAAAGGAAATATGAGTGTCTCCCTGTTGGGATTTCAAGGAAGGAAAAAGAAAGTGGCAAACCTTTCGATGAGGCCATCTACTTAACCCAGCTCTTCGACATATCCTTTTCATTACAGTAGGACATAGATTCATTTTCTTGGCTGCCTCCTCAATCGGAAGATGAAAATACGGCCCAACATCTTTTATGGTCAGCTTGCCTGTTCTCTCCCTCTGCACTAACCTCAGCACAACCAAATTCTTAGGCTAAGTTAGATAAATGTGAGGTTATTTATAATGTTTTCCTGATTACGATCACATTTAAGTAAAAATAAAATGGAAAAAAACTACTAATTAATTTTTGAGGGTGTTCTGACATGATTTAAAGTAACCTTAAGAAATATGATTTAAAGTTAGTAACTAAACCTGTGCTGCAAGAGAGGTTTTGGGTGCGCTAGGCGAGTTATTATCTGTCTTTGGTTGACTTGTTTCAGCACCCGCTGCAGGATCAAAATATTTCATATTATTGGGATCTTCTAACCAAGTGTGTGCATGGCATTGAGAGAAAAGATTAAGAGACCTGCATTTGAGGAAGGTGGAACGAACTCGCCCCTATTTAGATTTTCATCCCAGGCAAATCCCACGCATAGGGCTTCGTAGAAGAGAGAAAGAGGGTCCTGCACCATCCAAAATCCTTCTTGGTTTCTTTCAAAGCAGTATTGAACCAGAAGTTGTTTGACATCTGCGATGCTTTTCTTGCAAAAACTGAACTTACAGAAAATAAAACAAGACATGATCATGAAAATTAATCCTAATTTCACTACGAGCAAAGAAATTCTGATATGTAGATTCAGGAAAGGCAAAAAAAAAAAAAAAGACAAAAAGATAAAAGCAAAAACATATATAATTGGAAAAAGTTGAGGAGGAATACTATAGGTTCACACAAAAACTATACCAGACTTACTCCCACATTTCATAATGATGATTCTGAGAAACCGAAGCAGATGAATGGATGTCAAGTATGGCATGACAGATCAGTCCAAGCCTTCCGTGAATCTCAAGTTTTGTAACATCTCGACCTGCCATTAAAACTAAACCCAATCAGACCAATTAACAAACACATACCCTGCACTAATCAACAACCATCTTTACTTTCACTATATAACTGAAGAACAACAGTATAGTAACATGAAATTACCATTACTATGAATTATTTCTCGAAGTACTTGGCAACAACTGCAACCAAAAGGGAGAGGCGATGGTGGCCAATTCGAAAGAATTTGTGAATGGTTATTGTTTCCATAATCTAAAGTCATGTTTTGTAGTTGCCAATTCTCCTCTCTCCGCTCATTACTGGTTTCCCCTCCATAGTTCCTCGACGAACCTGCTTGAGAACTCCCAGCCATATCAGGCTTTCCATAAAATTCCCACATAACTGGATCATCCAATAGATTATCAGAATCTGCGATCTGATTACTGGGGTTCAGAACAGATGAAGGATTTGAAAAAGGTAGTACTGCTCCTTCTTCTTGGGTAGTCATCGACAAATCAAAGAGAGTAGGATTCGGATCTCCAATAAAATCAAGAATTTCATCTTCAAAGGGAACATCGTAGGGGTCATGGTAGGGAACAGTTGCTGCAGGATCCGCCATGGCAATTGGCTTGGTAAATAACTAGTATACTGCTAGTTTTCTCAAGCACCGGTCGGTGCTTGAGAAAGAAGGAGAGAGAAAAAAATGATTTGAGAGGATTCATTTGGAGAATTTATATAAGGGTTTGGAGGAGACAAGAGGAAGAAGAAGAAGGCGCGAGAGGCAGTTAATGACCGTTACGCCCAGTGACGGTTGTTTCTGTTAATATTTTTCAAATGTTCCCAATCTGCTATCGCAGCGGTTGGGGCCTTCAGGGAGAATACGTCGTCGTTTAGATTCAAACGGTGCGTTTCGGGGATACGTCGTCGTTCTACTTTTATTGTCAACCCATGAAGATAAATTACCAGAACAAGGCTTTCCTAAATATCAAAGTAGAAATGAAGTCAGCAATATCGTCACTCGTCAGCTCCAAGCATCGGAGTCTCAATCTTCATCTAAACCATTCTCCTTTCTCTAACTCCATTTCATACTCAAAAACCCTCTCTCATAAATCTACTTTCATACCCGTAATTCCTCTTAACAACAATACCAGTTTCAGCAATCGCACACTAAAGCTCAAAATCCAAGCCACCAAATCTGTTTCGACAATGGCGTCCTCTTTCAAGCCCGAGCAAGCCAGAGCTCCACCTGCCGTCCCCTTGCCCAAACCACCCGTTACTAAGGTAAGTTTTACATACATCATTTGCTATGAATTGTAATTTTTAGTAATCTGATTTCCTTTTCGGATTTTTTCTTAATTTGAAATTCCTCTTTGAGGTACAGTTCAAGATTGCTCTGTGCCAGATAACGGTGACTACTGATAAAGAGAGGAACATTGCACATGCGCGCAAGATGATCGAGGAGGCTGCGGCCAAGGGGGCGAAGCTTGTTGTTTTGCCTGTAAGGGGCTATTTTTCTCTCTTCTCGACGTTGTTCTCTGTCTTCTGTTCTTTAGCGGAATTGGGGAATTGGTTTATAAGACGGATTCATATTTAGTGTTGCCTCTGTTCTCGTCCGATTCAAGATTTTTATGGTTGGATTCCCATATGTTTGGTAGAATACAGAATTTAAAGTTGCGTAAGCTTTAATATTGTTGTATGGTAGAATAAGAATCAGGTCAAGTTTCGTACTACTTTGCTAATTAATGATGTGTCAAGACTTGAATGATCATTAGCACCGATTCAAGATTTTTATGGTTGGATTCCCATATGTTTGGTAGAATACAGAATTTAAAGTTGCATAAGTTTTAATATTGTTGTTTGGTAGAATAAGAATCAGGTCAAGTTTCGTACTACTTTGCTAATTAATGATGTGTCAAGACTTAAATGATCATTAGCACCATTTCCATTTGTTGGAGCTTTGGACCATTCATAAGTCCTTCATTGAAATATTTTATATTTTGAAAAGGGAAATTAGCTTGGCATTTGAGTTTTGAAATGTAATCAAGGCAGGAAGTTGTTTTCCTTGTTTCACTGGAAGAGGAGTAGAATCACTTTAATGCAAATTAACAATATCCTATTATGTCAGGAAATTTGGAATAGTCCATATTCAAATGACAGCTTCCCAGCTTATGCTGAGGACATTGATGCAGGAGGTGATGCATCACCTTCAACTGCCATGCTTTCTGAAGTTGCTCGTCTTCTGAAAATCACAATTGTTGGTGGCTCTGTCCCTGAAAGATCTGGGGATCGCCTGTATAATACATGTTGCATTTTTGGTTCCGATGGAAAGTTGAAAGCCAAGCATCGTAAGGTACCACTTTTAGCTTACATCTGCTGCTGAATGTGAATTTCATATTCTTATGAGTTTAGGGTTATTTCTGGACTTTCCAGCACATTGGCCAAGTACATGGGTGTGACTCAATCTGTTATCATATCCCGCAGTAACCCCCTGCCTTTACTCGGTGTTCATCATAATAGCAGTTCTGATCATATATGTATCTTCAAGTGCATTGATGAATATGTTTAGGTTCAGCTGAAATTAGTTGGTTCATATAATTAGGCACCAAACAATATTATAGATGACCTGGTGGACAAATGATCTCATAACCTATTTCTTTCAGATATTTTTAGGCAAGTTATTTAGGAAACAATTCCACTGGAGGCATCAAGGATAAAAAAAACATAATGAGTTTTTAGGAACCTATTCCATTGGAGGCACCAAGGACTGTCATTCAGCAGAACTAAACACCAATTCTCAGCACCTTATTTACTAAAAGCTCATTGTTTATGTGGAACTTATAAATAAAACAAAAAACCGCTTGAGCAAGTATATTTTTAATTTATTTTTCAAAAGCCTGTAAGCTCATGCTTATAAGCTAGAAAAGAATTAGAAAAGCCAAACGGCTATGTAAATATGCTATATTTATAATGCTAAAAATAAAAATAAAAATAAATGTTTGTAAATTTTAGAACATATAATATACAATCCTACATGTTTCACAAGCTGTCAACCTGAATACTTGTCTGTTTGTATTTAGCCCGATGTGGTAAACGGTTGATTTTGATCCAAAGTTTGATCAAACTGATCTTGAGTCAAATTTTGATTTAGCTTTCTTCTAAAAAAACATAACCTTGAATTGAGCTTGAGTGGTTTGTTGGTAAGATTGATACAAAGGAAAATTTAAGGCAACTAAGTAAAATCCCTAAACTATGCATAAATTTTCTAAGACTACTAATATTTTCTACATTAAACTAAATATTTTCTAACAAGATATAAATAAATATTGAACTTATATAATTATTACGTAAGTGGTCCTAATACTGAAGGTCTTTCAGTTTCATTTCTTATTGCTCTCCATCATTATGGGATATTACTGCAAAGTTATTCTTTTGATTCCATTTTCTAAGGAAGCTCTTACATTCAACCTTCACGACAGATACACCTTTTTGATATTGACATTCCTGGGAAGATTACCTTTATGGAATCCAAAACTCTAACAGCTGGGGAGACTCCAACAGTTGTAGATACAGGTTTGATCTTCTTCAAAACTCCATAACTAAGCATAAGGTTTATGCCGTTATCAGTGTCTAGGATTAGGCAGGGTTTTATACTCCTCTTCATCCATATTCTTGTGGTTTATAGTCCTATGAAAGGGAAATGACATTCTATCTTAGTTTATTTCATGTTTTGTCCTATTAAGTACATGCATAAGGGACAACACTTCATATTATTTTGATACTTGGATTCAGGACATGTTTCTTGTACACTCATCAGATAAACCCTGCTTGTCCTGTTCTTGGACGTAACCTTTGTAACCTTGATGATTTTGGTTTTATTGTAAATATGCTCATTGACTTGTACATTTTTTGTACATGGGTGGGACCCCCTTGGTGCCTATATTTAATACATAATTCTACTCTTTTATCTCAAAAACCTGCTTGTCCTGCTTATAACAAAGTAAATCTTTTTTTGCTTGTCATAATTTTTTCACCCATACGTGGGCTTGAACCCAGACCACTTTCATGAAATGACTGGAACCAACCAACCAGGCAAAGTTTTGGTGGTTATAAGAAAGTATCTACTGCATATTTGGGGTGTATTGACAGAACAAAATCTGCAGGTTGTTTATTTTGGACTATTCTGCATGTAAATGGTATACGATAGTTACATATGAAGATCGCATATTTTGCTAAAGGACCCAGTTCTCAGTGCAAACAGTTTACTAATTATATTAGGGAAAATTACGAAAAAAATACCCTGTATTTGATTTTGTCATTAAGTAGGCCTATATTTTGAATTGTGTCTTCTTGGACCCAAACTTTTAATGACTCAAATTAGGAGTAATTAGTAAATTTTTCAGTAAAATTCACCAAAAAATTGTCTGACACGATTCGCCCACATGAGAAAATTCTTGCTAATCAGGGTCGTGTGAGTGTCTTCTTGTTCACATTCTCTCTCCTCTGCCCACTTCTGCAATCGATATTCTCATTACATGCAATGGTCTGTTAATCTCTTTCTCATCTGTGATTTTCACCAGTGGTCATCTCCATGACGCCAGTCACTAACCACAACCCCCACTTCACTTGTACAATCATTCTGGAGCAAGGTTCATTCGTTTAACTAACAGCTTGCAGCTTGCCCAAACTTTCTTCTGCTTTTTCAGTTTATGAAGGTTTTAAGCTATTTGTATTTCTTTTTTTCTTGGCATAAACTTAAGTCAATCTTAGAGATATCAGATCTGTACTTTCTCCATTATACCATTTCAGTCGCAAATATAACTGGTGCGCAATATTCTATCCATATTTGGTACCAGAAGGGAAGAGAAAGTTTGCGGTGGGGAGAACTTTGGCAGAATGGCTTTGATGAGAATGGAGAGTCAGGGAAGAGTAATGGGGAGGGATAAAATAGATATTCTGTCCAAATCTCAGATCAAAGGAGAGGGAGAAGATTTGCAGCAAAAGGAGAATTTTGCAGAATGGCTTTGGTGAAGAGGGAATGGTGACAGGGAAGGCTGGTAGAGAGGGATAGATGACCAGAGGGAGAGAGAGACGTTCTGTGGCAAAGAGAAAGTGTTGCAGTATGGCTTTGTGAAGAGGAATGGTGACAAGGAAGCAAGTGACAGAGAGGCATAAGAGCTTTTTTTATGGTGTGCGCATTAGGTAGTGACTTCCAGGAGGCAGAGGGTGAAAAATGGAGGAGAGACATAGCATGTGAAATGGAAAAGAAGTTGTGAGAGAGAGGAAAGAGGATTTGTGACTTTTGACTCAAATAAGGAAAGTCAGTTGATGGCAAAATGGTCACTAAGATAGTTTGTAGATTCGTATCAAGGAGAGAAGGTCGGTGGAGAGAGAAAATGGAGCTACTGAGGAGAGGAATAGAGAGGGGAGGCTGAGAGAGACACTCTAGTGAAATAAGAAAACGAGTTTAATTAGGAAGAGGGTTAAAAGTTTTGTCTCATAACATTATTTTTACATGAGCAAAGCATGTAAAGTAATTTTAGTGGTGAATTTCATCAAAAAGTTTACTAGTAGTCATAATTTGAGACGATTAAAAAGTCAAGGTCTTAAAAGATGCAATTAAAATTGTAGGTCCTACTTTGAGACATCAGTCTGCTGAGTAGATATTTCTTTGTGAGACAACTTTTTCTTCTTCAGAAAAAGGTATTATAGAATTTACTTTGAGACAACTTTCCCCTTATATTGTTATCTTTTTAAAATATGAAAGAGGGAATTAGGACAATGATTAGTTTTGTGTCTGCATTATTTTCACGTGTTTGAATCACTTAGAAAATCTTTTGGTGAATTTCACTAAAAAATTTACTATTAGGTCCTATTTTGAGTGTTAAAATGTTAAGGTCTTAAAAAGATGCACGTGAAAATATCGGCCCTACTTGGAGATATAGATCAATTTGCAAGATAGTTTTATGTATTTTTCATCATCATCTTTTTAAATTATCAAAGACGAAAAAATATGAGAAATATTCAAAAATCTCCTAATATTAATCATTTTCTCAACTATTTGATCTGAATAGTCTCGAGGAATTTCAAATTCATTAAATTTACCTCATACCAGAATTCCTTGTCCCTTTTGTGGAGAATCTTTTTCATTTCAATTTTGGCGAAGTAACTCTTGATTTGTGCTTGCAGATGTTGGACGTATTGGTGTTGGAATCTGTTATGATATCCGGTTTCAGGAATTGGCAATGATATATGCTGCTAGAGGTTTGCTCTCATCTTCCATTGACATAATATTTTCCAATGTTACTTAGAATTCCATGGAAATCTGGCACCAAACTCCCCAACCCAAATGCAAATTGCTATGATACTGCTCATGTTGAATCTCATCATTGTACTAATCAGCAGAATTTTTGCATTAGGTGCTCATTTGTTATGCTATCCAGGAGCATTTAATATGACAACTGGACCATTGCATTGGGAATTATTGCAGAGGGCTAGGTACTCTTAGTTACTCTGATACTCTTTTTGTACTTGATATTTAATCAGAAGTCTTGTGCTTACTCTCTTCTACCATGTTCATCCTGAGTTAGTAGTACAAGTATGTTACTCTTTTTTTTTTTTCAAAATGGTCCTTTCTATTTCTGTTAATTGAAGGGTTTACTTCCTCAAAGAAAAAAGAAGTATTCATGTTTTCCATCATAGGCTAAATTTCACTTTTTGGTCATTGAACTTTTCCGTTAATGTTAATTTGATCATTGAACTTTTAGTTAGTTAAATGAAGTCAGGTTTCAAGACGTAGCAATTTCTTGCAACAATTAAAGAGTAAACTAACGTGGCTGTCAGACTAGAAAAGTTAGAAACTTTTCCTCCAAACTTTATCTGGTATTTTCCCTCCTTTTTCTGAAATTTTTCCTAGCCAATCAGCCATCTCTCATTAGTCAAACAAAAGAACAGCTACAGCCCAGAAACCAGTTTGCCAAGAGAGTGGAGGTAAGATTGGACCACCATATTGCTACTACCAAAAGCAAGAAGTAGCAAAGATGATTCCGGTGGCCACAACCAAAAATCCTCCTTCTACCACCTCTCTGCCTACAAGGAAGGATACAATGAATGGCCTGTATCATAGAGAACAAGACATGGAAATAATTTTTCAAATGAAGGGGTAAATTTCTTTGCAATTTTAAAGCCACTTCAAGAACAATACTGTGAATGACTCCGGTTTTCACTTCAAGAAGTTTCATCTAAAGAAATTAAACCTCTTGTTGATGCCAAAGGAGAAGTAGATTACTGTGGAGGAATGGAATATTGCATTCATTACTGAACAAGGGCATCCCCTATGTATACACATTATTAAGTATAAAAAAGAAAACCCTAAAAATTAGCTACATATGGATATTTTACTATTATACTCTTATACACTAATTACACACACTTCCAACACTCCCACTCAAGTTGGTGAATAGACATTATTCATTCCCAACCTGGCAATGGTTGTCTGGAATACTTGATTATTTAAGTCTTTAGTAAGTACATCTACCAGTTGAGAGTTGGTAGGCATGCAAGATGTGCATATCAATCCATTTTCTAGTTTCTTGTTGATAGAATGTCTGTCAATTTTTATATGTTTTGTACTCTTAGGTTGTACTAGATTATGGGCTATACTGATTGCTGATATGTTATCATCGCAGATTCTAATGGGACTATCTCATTTGATCCTTAGGTCTTTTAGAATCATCTTCGATCATAATAAATCACAAATTCCTTGGGCAATTGCCCCAAATTTTGATTCCACAGTAGATGTTGTTACTATGTTCCATTTTTTGCTTCTTTGTGTGACTAAATTTCCTCCAAGAAAGTGGAAGAGCATGTAGTGGACCTTCTATTCATTACTGATCAAGCATAATTAGCGCAATGTAGGCTTCAAGAAGTAACATGTTATTCCTTCTCAACTTGATAACCTTTCCTGGTGGCTTTTTTCTTTCTTAAAGTTTATTATTTAAGATCTTAAAGGTTATGTGATTTTCAGGACCACTAGGGCATGTTTAGGTTTAAGTGAGGCTTAATTAGGCAAAAGAGACCATTTAGGTTTGAGATTATTTAGTCTTATTTTTACAATTAAAATTATCACCAGGAATATAAGATCCTTAAGATTAGGAAAATATTGCTTTTTTCTTCTATATAAACATAAGTTTATCTCTAATGAGGGAAACCCTAATTCTACTACTACTATCCTATAACAGGATCCTAAATTTAGCACAGTAACAGCTCTCCCATAACAAGCAACTGCAAAACCATTGTCAAGAGTAATTCAATGAAACAATATCCCTGATCATGATATCTTCTTTAAGATTTCTTATGAAAACATCTTGCTTAATCAAGTAGCAGCATGTCCCTCCTACCATCACCACCCTACACATCAAGTTTCTTGAATCTGCCACATATCTCAATATGGCATTTCCAACACCAGTACTTGTTCTTACCTTAAGCCTAACATTGATGCACCACATCTTCATGGGAGTCTGGCAAGAATGAGAGCCCTGAGAAGGTTGAAAGTGGAGAGATAAACAAGTGATGTACAGAGTTATAGGAAAAGTTGAAACCCAAAGAGAGTGGGAGAGACAATAAAAAACTGACATGATTGCCACTTCTAAAAGCTTCTCCATAACTCTAATGGTCATTTTATTTAAAAAAAATCAACTTTAATGGTCATGAACTACTGATCAAATTGAAATTGGGATGAAGTTCATTGATCAGAAGTGATCTTTTGCCTCACCTTTTGTGATGTTTTTTGTCACGTTACTCATATTTTTTTCTCTCTTTATTGTGCAGGGCTGCAGATAATCAGGTATTTTAACTAATTCCTTTTTCTCATTTTTTATAATCCATGGAGCTGCTCATTTCTTACAGTTTATGCAATAATTATCAGTGTTCGTGGCAAAGTGAAAAACCTAATTAAATCAAAATTAGGTTTGTGATTTTGAAAACCTCTGATTAACCAAAATCAGACTGATAACCTATCAAGCTATATATATGTAACTGAATCAAAGTTAGGTTCGTGAGTTTGGAAAACTGTGATTAACCAAAATCAACACACACACACACACAAACACAATAATATACTTGTATTTTATTATGTAAAATGTATAGACATGTTAAAATTAAATATGACATATTTTATACTTGAAAAGCTTCTAGTTCTAGTTTAAAATGTTTAAACTTTAGCTGTAAACCTGTCCATGTGAATTTGTGGACTTGAATTTATTTTCAAATCCTTAACATGCTGAATTGTATTTTATGGCTTGTGAGAATCCTAGAGGTATTTGATTTACAGTTTGTGTAGAATTCACGTTCAATTTGGAATTTATTTTCTAAATCATTTTTTTTTAAATAATGGAGTTAAGAGAGTTTCCTAATCGTGTTACAAAAGGCTGCTTATTGAAATTCATGTAAAAGTCGCTGACTACCCTTCAGATTCAAGTTTCATTGGCTCAGTAGTTTTTTGCCTAAATTATTATCCCTTGTAAATTCAAGATTAAATAATAGAAGTGAGGGATTTGAACTCTTGATAGAATTTAAATTATCATATATTTTTCTGGTTTGAGATTGGGATATTAAATTCATTTCAAGTTTTGAAACTTAAGCATTATTAAGCTAATAAAATTTGGAACTTAAACCACTAGTCCTCAGATTTAAAAACTCTGAGTTATTAGTAGTAAGTGACTTGAGGTACTATTAAGATTGAACTGAATCACATATTTTTCATATAGTATTAGAATATCATAGTCTTTATCACTTTGACTTTAATGTTCTTGGAGATGTCACACTACATAATTACAAATCACAAACCGAAAGGTCTACAAAGTTTAAGATTGGATCAAATTGAAATGACCAACTTGAAATCTGGCTTTGATGAGATTATACTGCCTATGTTCAGTGATTATCAGTCCAATAGCTTTGTACACTAAACAAATGATCTGATTGAAATAATTAATGATGAGTAACTTGAGTTCTTATATAAAATTCATCATTACATTTTTTTCTGTTAGGATTTGAAGTATTTTATTGACCTAAATGCTCTGTTCTTGACTTTGTTGGAATTCTTGCACCTTGTTGGTACTGTCACAGAATCATAAATATATTGTGTTAAATGAATGTTTAATCAGAGATTGACTTCTCTGTTATACAACTAATGGTTAGATTGAATAGCAGAGTGAATTGCTTGTGAGAACACCATAAAGTGATTGAGAACAAGGATCATTGGATTTCTCTATGACATTGATAAAATTATCAAAAGAAAAAGAAACTTGCTTTGTTATAATTTTGAAGTATTCTCATAAGTTTCTATTTATTTGATGTTTCTAATTATGAAGGTATAAACTTTTTTTTTTCTCTGAAAGACAAACACCACCACAAGCACACTCCAAGGAGGTGCCACCCATGTACCAAATAGGAATTTGCAGCTCTGTCAAAATATCAACCAGATCACCCAGGTCCTCATCTCTAAAAGTAGGCTGCCCGTTAAACAAAATCAAACCATATGAAAACAAAGGTTGTTCATTTAAAAAAAAAAAGAAAAAATAATATCCTTAGAAAAAGTTCTTCTCTTTCTCTAATTTCAGATGAGCACAAAGTAGACAAAGGAATAAGATGGATAAGCTTCTTTCTACTCTTGTCATCCCAGAGACTCTGCTAAGCTGAAATCTCGTCAGCCATCTGTCCTGTCATAACTCAGTTAAGGCCAATGAACTCAAGACTCCATGCCAAAGATGAAAAGAGAAAGAGCACCATGACAGGAAGTAAGGGTCCCAATCTCTCTTTTATAAAGGCAGCAACTGTTTGCCAAAAACTTTCCTCTCTTCTTTTCATCCATCAACTGTAAGGATTCTCTCTCCCTGCCTTCCAAGCAAAAAAAGCAATTGTAGATGTTGCATTTAACTTCCACTTTAGCTTCAAGGAAAGGCATTTCGAGTCAATTGGGGTGAGCAAGATTCATGAAAAATGAGTTCACCTCTACAAAATTGCTGGCCCCAGGCTTCCATATAGGACCATCTGTCCCATTGGGAGAGAGAATAAAATGGGACAGAGTATAAACGAGTCTTAAATATTCTTCTTCTCCCAATTAGGCTTCTGAAAATCCACCTCGCACAGTATACAACCGCTCGAGACATGATAGAGCTCACTCACCAAAGCTTTCTTATAGTCAAGGAGAAGATAACAAGAAGTTATTGTTCGAAGACCCCTTCCCACCACATGATCTATCCAAATTTAACCTTCCTCCAAAACATAACCCTCAACTGAATACATTTGAGTACTTTCCCCATCTTGCATTGATGTTCTTCTATAAACTCAGCTCATGCACCTCCTATAAGGCTTAGCTCTCCAGCCCTTAATATCCAACCAAACTTGGCCTGAGCTGACCTCCGCCGAACTTCCTTCCTCCAACATGAAACTCTATAATTACTTTCCTATAAGTGCATTATGGATCTAATACCAAGGCCCCCAAGAAAAGAGGCTGTTTCATAACCTTCCATGTCATGGGATGGAAACTTCTTTGCTCCCTAAATCACCCCAAATGAATGAACATTACAGAGCCTCAAGCTTTTTTGCCTCTGAAACAGGAAGAAACAAAGACAAATAATATATTGAAAGATTAGTCAGAGGAACTATAAAGTAAACTGTTTCTATGGTATTTGCTGCAATCCTTATGCTGAATCTTTATATGTAATATTATATGAATAGCTATGACAAGAATAGGGAAAGTAAGAGTAGGAAGTTAATTATGGAGGAAATTTACTATAAATTAAAAGAAAATATTGGAGATATTGAAATTATTCTCTATGTAAAGTATTCTAATTATCTATCACATATTTTATAGTTTATGTGCTCTCTTTTGACCTAGTCGCTGCTTATCATTATGTTTTCTTCTCCGGTGGCAGTAGTTCCAATTTTCACCTTTTTTTTATAAGTAATCATAATGTGTCGTAACAGTTTATATTTTCTCTGACATTAAAGAACTCGGAATGGAAAATTAATTTATGTGCATAATATTTTGAAAGAGTTTCTAATTGATAATTTTATAATTTTTTTTTGGCAGCTATATGTCGCAACTTGTTCACCTGCAAGAGATCCTAGTGCTGGCTACATAGCTTGGGGGCACTCTACCCTTGTGGGACCAGTAAGTGATACCTGTGTCTTAGGTTTCATTACAGAAGAAGCTATAATTTGAGGAGAAAGAGCTTTTCATGATGAAATCCAGTGTGCTTGTGTTTTCTAGTTCTTCAAGTATATAAAGGCTTACTGAAAGATGTGGTTATGGCAGTTTGGAGAAGTATTGGCCACTACAGAACATGATGAGGATATAGTCATGGCTGAGATCGATTACTCAATGATGGAGCTCAGAAGGTGATCTCATTCCCATCCTAGAAGCTAGTTTATTTTCAAGTCTTTCTTTTTTTTCTTTTTGTTTCTAAATTTGCGCTTGAATAAATCCAGGGCAAGCCTCCCGACGATAAAGCAACGGCGGGGAGATCTGTACCAGTTGGTAGACATCCAGAGATTGAATTCCTAGTGATTATACCAGGGTACCATCTATTTATAAGGTGCTATGGCAGCATCAGTAATTGGCGAAACACTTCTAGTTTATTACTTGGTGCAAAATCTTTATGTGGTAAGAATGTGAAGAAGTTGATCTTTGAATAAATCCAAGTGCTTGCTTTCTTTACGAAGTTGGTGGTTCTCATTTTATTTTCTGATGTGATTTTATTAGTTCTTCCAAAGATACAAATGAATTAACAAGTCTTATAAATTTAAAAATGTTTCATCACTGTTTGCCCCTCCTCTACCACCTTATAATTTTATGAGGGGATTCTGGTAGAAATTTCTGCAGGTAAAATTATAAATTATGGAGTTTACTTTCTTTTTGAAGAATTCTAATAGAAAATTTGTTAATCTTTGACATAGGATTTGGCATCAGTATTTGCAGAAACTAAAATTTTCAAAATAATAATATATATAACTCAGCAATTTTATAAAGTGTAAGGATAAATTCACTAAAAAAAATAATTATAATGGCATGCTTTCAAAGGTATCAATTAATTTTTTTATTTAAAAAAAAAAAGAAATAAAGAGAAGCGATCATCAATGTCATTGGGATCCTGACCTTCCTTTTCCTTTTCAGGGAAACTCTCATCTGACGGTAACTAACTGAAGGACCACAATAACCTTCTTTAAGTCTCTCCCACGTGAACATATCCAACGTCCTGTCACGTGCTTCACTGCTCAAACGCCAACCACTGGGTTCCACTCTCCTCCTTGGTGTTCCCCCAACACCCCGCCTAAACTAAGCTTGTCATTTTAACTATTTATTTCCCTGTTTTGATTGATAACTTAAGTTTCCAATTCATTTTACAAGTACTCATACATAATTTTGAATATATAAATAATGGGTTTTAGAAAACACATGAATGTTATATTAACTTAGCCTTATATAAATGAATTACTGGGAAATGGATAAGAGTTTTGAGATTGGGAAAGCAATTAAGGGTAAGCCTGAGGAAAGTGACAGGGTAGACTGGGCCGAAGTGTCATGGAACGGGATGAAGTCTTCACGTGCGTCTACGAGTTGCCTCCACGGGCTTGGCGTGATGCCCTACCAGCCCTCATTTATTATTATTGGAGCCCCCTGCAAAGATTATGGCTGCTCTCCTGCCCCTTGCTCCGCTCAAGAAATTTATTTATTTTATTAATATAATTTATAATTGAAAACACAGGATATTCAAAATTTTATTTGAATTTACAAATTCTTAAAAAAAAGGATTGATTTATTTTTTTAATTTAATTTAATTTTTTAAACATATGAATTTTCTTTCAAATAAATGATATTATTATTTATATTTTTTATTTTTCTAATTCGTTAAATTTATTTAAGACAACTGCATTTAATGATCTAATTTCTCTTACTATGTCACTAATCATTACCTAACTCAATAGTTAGTGTAATGTTCTAATTAATTTTAATTGTAATTAAAATTAATTAATATATATAATTTTTTAATTTTTTAATTTTTATTTAAGGTTAAAATGAAGAAAATTAGATGGATGATGGAATTGAAAATAATTTTGAAAAAAATAGATAAAAATTTGGGTTTCATCCGTGTTTTTGAAAGAAAAAATCAGAAACTGCAGGTCAAAAAATAATTTAGAAAAATTACACCACGTTGACGCGTAGTCAGCAACCCCAACGAATCAGAACGTACCGCGTGGCAAGCCACGCTGACGCGGTGCCACGCTGGCAATCCACGTGCCCGCGATCGGACGGCCCGAATTTATTCCCTCATGCACGGACGGTCTAGATCCGTTCCCCCCTTATATGCGACTGAACGGCTCAGATCAAATCGTGATGAACGGTCCAAATTCACTCCTATTTAATCGCGATCGGACAGTTCAGATCAAATGCGATTGATAGCCCAGATTAAAAAGAGACAGATATAAATAACTCTCTTCACACTAAACCCTAACCCTAGCTGCCAGACACCCTCGCCAGAGAAGAAGAGCCAACCGTCGGGAAATGAGCCGCCCGCCGCCCGCTGCCGCGTCGGAGCCACTTTCGACTGCCAAAAAAGGAAAAATTATCCCCAATTGCTTGAAATTAAATTTTAAACACCCCCATGGCCAAATCGAAACAAAAGGGCTGGTGGATTTGTCGAGAACTGCGGGCAAAGCCTGATTGTGCCGCCGCGGGAAAAAGCAAAAACCGCCTCCGATTAGCCCCTTTCTTATTCCCGTTTCGTATAATTTTTTTCACCATTGTAACCACAATTCCTTTCTCTACAGGTTGACCGAAGCAAAACACCCAACCGCGAAGGTAAGCCTACGGAGTCGTCGCACCGGAGAACCCTACCACCGGTAAGTTTTGATTTTTTTATTTTTTTGGGGCAACCGAGGCCCCTTGACGTCTTTTTCTCGCAGGGATTGGTACAAAACCGGGTGAAAACAGCCGACCCGAGACAAACCACCACAGCGGGCGGCGGTGCCATCGCTGGAGCACGGCGGAGCCGTGCCAAAATTCTGAAATTGGTCAAAAAGGTTCCTAACACTTATTTTGGATTTTTTAGAATATTTCTAGGTACTTAAAGTACGTTTTAATCCCTTGAAAAAAACTCAGGGAACCCAGGACCGCCCGTAGGAGCAATTAAAAGTTTAGCATTTCAGACATCGATTTGAATAAAAATCCCTCACCTTATTTCATATTATGGAATTGAAGTTTAATTTTAAATAATATGGTATTTTGTGAAACTTAAAAAATATTTATAATTAATTACAGGTTACTAATAGAGGCGGAACCGATTATTTACTATTGTTTGCTATGTTTAAGCGATTGCCTAATTTTACAGTTTTCGAGTGCATGATAATACACTGAGATTGGTATGATGATGCAATTGTATTTCTTTGATACATGTTTTGCTTGTTTTATGTGACTATGGTCGAATTGGAAAACTAAAAATTAAAAGTAAACAAAAAATTGTTTGGTTAAGTAGATGGATGAAAAGGCAACCTTACTGGATATACTGGAAAATGGTGGACGGATTGGGTACATAAGGAACCGTACCGTGAACGTTGCCTCATACTGGACGGGGTATCGATATTTGGTAATTTGGTGTTCATACCGGATGGAGTATGGGGACAACCCGTTTTACTCTCATAACGGATGTGGTATTAAGGGATGGTATCTTTTGGCACTCATACCGAACTGGGTATGAGGACGATCTGTTAATTGAAAAAATAAAAAAAGAAGATTTACGCATAGTGGGGACATTCCTATAAACCCCTATAGATACCAGTAGGCTGATAAAAGGGAAGGTTATTGTTCTGACTGATCGTACATGAAATTATGATATGTGTTATGTTATTGACTATATGGGTTATTTTTGGTATTCTCGCTACGGTAAATGATTTTATTTATGACAAACGAATTTACTTAAATTAAGAGCTCCATTAGTTGTTTTTATGATTTCTACTAACCTTCATTTATGTGTCAGTGAGTAACATAATATTCTTACTGGGCTAATGTAACTCGCTCTTTCATTAACCATTTCAGATCAAGAGGACTAGGATCCAGTGCTCGATCCACCAGTTTATTGCGAGTAGGATGTTTAGTTTGTTTATTTCTAATTTATTTCTTTGGTTATTAGTTGTTCTTTTAGAAAGGTTATCCCCGTAAGCCTTATTTAGTATTTTTAGTTATTGTGTAAGGAATGTAAACCTTAACTATTTATTTTGCTTCCACATTCAATTTATAATTTATTTCCTTCTTAGTATACGGGTCGTTATAGTTGGTATCAGAGTCATGTTTCTCGGAACCATTCCTTACACAAAATCCTTAGGAAACACCAAAAATCATAAATTATCACTCAACTATTGTTTATGAAATGCAAGTATAGATAAATGACAAGAGGAAGACCTCCACTAAACTGAGCAGCCCAAGAGGGTTCGCTTTGAGAGGATGTTGACTGGCTATTTGAAATATTAGAGAGACTCATCACTGCCCAACAAGCTCAGAAGGAAAGGAGGGAGCTACCCCACCCTCCCCCCGCTGCCACAGGTTGAGCCACCCCTATAGCGAGAGGATCCCAACCCGCCCCGGTACGATCCTATTTCTCCATCGTACCATCTCGCACCACCACAGTATGATTCAGTGCTCCAGCTATAGTACCACCTGGCACCTCCACAGTATAGCCCGGTGCCCCAACCAGATCACCCGGTGCCACCACAGTACAATCCGGTACCTCTATCGTATCATCTAGTACCACCATCGGGTCATCCAGTCAATCCTCAGTACAATCCAGTCCCTCTTCCACAGGACCCAGTTCCTCTCATAAGGGACTCAGTCTACATTGAGAGGTATAAAAGACTAAACTTATATACTTTTGTAAGGGGATCTTCCTTTGAAGAGGTTGAGTACTGGTTAGCTAAGATAGAGAAGACCTTCACGACTCTTGGGGTGATTCCCAAACATAGCGTCATACTTGCCACCTACATGCCGATGGGAGAGGCAGGCCACCCTGCATGTTCCAGTCACTTGGGAACAATTTTTGACGGCCTTCAATGCAGAGTATCTTCCAAAGCATATCTGATATCTAAAGAAAATGGAGTTTGCACATTTAATCCAGGGTGACATGACTGTATCAGAATATGCTTAAAAATTCCTAGAATTGGGCTGGTATTCCCCTGAGAGCATGATGGATGAAGGCAAGAAGACAAAAAGGTTCGAATGAGGTCTTCGTCCTAATATCAAACAGCAGTTGTATGTGTTCGAGCTCAGTACGTACTCGACTGTTCTAGTTAAGGCACAGCTAGTGGAGAAGAACCTTGCCATTTTTCCTCTAGCAGCAGGGAACCTCAGGCCCTCGGGTTCACACTGCAGACCAGCACTTACTGCACCTGTTCAACAGAACAAGAGATCTAGACCAGTGACTCAAGCTCCCCCTTAGATTCCAACAACAGGACACGGAAGGATTTACCAGCACTGTGGTAGGGATCATGGGGACTGATCCTGCTATCACCTCAACAACACTTGCCACATATGTGTGAGTGCCCAGTATTATGTAAGGGAGTGTCCGAGGAACCAGAACCAGACTAGACCTCCTATCCAGGAAGCTTACAACCTCACTCAGCAAGATACAAAAGCCGACCCATACGTGGTACAGGGTACGTACACTATCTGTAA